CCCCAAAACCCCAAAACCCCGTCTAACTATATATTCAACAATTCTTTAAGAAATTAAAACTTAAGACTATAATTATCAATTTAGTAGGCATAGTAAAATATAGAGATAGGTGAGATGAAAACTCTCAGCTTTCAGATATAATTCTTCTTCTCTTGGATTTAGGCTTAATTTCTTCTTCATCAGAACTTGTATTGATCTAGGGCAAGGCAATTTTAGATTTTTCTTTTTCTTGACTATCATCATCATCTTGTTCATCCATTCTTTCTCCACTTAGCGATTATCTGCTACTATTTCCTCTACTTTGAGTTATCTTTGGTTATTTGGTCTGAATCTGTAGTTTTTCTGAACAATATAAATACTATTCATCTTCTTCTAGCTCAGACTTCTCATTGATTTGCACACTAAGATCTTGCATTGATTATTCAATCTTCTTGAGTGCTCTCTTCTCTTTGATCATATCAAGCTTACTAAGAAGAGCATCTTCAAGCTTGATGAAGTGCTGTATCTTCTCTATAGTGGTCAGAGTTGACTTTGGATGCATGATCTTCTCAATCTAGTAGATTTCAACTAGATGACATGGTGCTGGCAGTTTGATTCCTTCAACCCACTCTGGTGATAATCCATATTTCTAATTGTTCTCATTCCTCAGCTTCTCCTTTTCTTCAGGTGTTAGTTTACCACCCTGATTCACAAGAAATCCACACTTTCTAACTCCCTAAATATATCAATGGTTAAATTAATTGAGTTTGATACAATCTTCCTCTTATTATCAATTGCAATTCTATCTATATCTAGATGTAAACCCATAAACTCAGCTAAGGACTACTAGCCAATAAGTCTTTGAGTCTGTAAGTAGCATTGCTAAATTTACTTTGTTGGCAAGACTCCAGACCTGACCAAAATATAAAACATGTATTAGTAATTTACTTTTCAATAGCCGTCCATTTCCCAACTCCAAACTTCATAAGTGCAATTTTGAGAATTTCTACTTCCTGTTGTGTCCATCCAGGAGACAAAGCATAGTTCCACAGACTTTTTGATTCAGCGATTTTCTTGCTCTAATTTCCAGCTAGAATATTGTTGTTGCTCATACAAAACTCAATCTAATTTAATTATAATCCCTAACATTTTAACTAAGTCTTTTAATTATCTTGGGGTTTTGGGGTTTTGGGGTTTTGGGG